GAAAAAGATTTTATTTTTTTTTGGGATAAGAGAGAAAGAGAGATAGAAAACAAATAGTATGGGAAATTTCTGGACGGAAAAACTTGCACTCCTCAAATTTTGTTTAAAAATTAAGCTCAGTTTCATCGTTAAAATATTACCACCTTACTGCAGTTGTTTACATAAAGTTCGCTGATACTGATCTGATCATTTTGTTGTTATTGAAATTTTGAAAAAAAGTAATATAAGAAATGAAAATTAAGCTATAGCTTACGTTCCTTCATACTATTTTCATTACAATGAAAGTTATAGGAAAGATTATTTTTCTATCAATCGATAAATACATCTTTTAAAATTTCAAATGATTTCTACCAATTTGATATGTCAATATTACTTCAACGGCTGAATTAATTATTTTCCAAAAAAAGTTATTAAAAATTAAAAATTTTTTTCATAATAATTCAATTTAATAATTATAAGATGGGTGAATGGACTAATTAATTTTTGTAATAATTAATTTAGAAGGCTACTTCTATCTTAATGAAATAATAGTTAATAGCATTTAGCTATTAATGGTTTTTAAACTATTTACTAATGGTTTTTTTCGTTTTTTTCTTAAATGGTTTTTAAACTATTTACTTATCGAAGTGAATATTAAAATGAAATAATACTTATCGAAATAAAATAATACTTATTTAAAATTTTTTTATTATAATGCAATTTAATTAAAAAATTATTTATTATAATACAATTGGAAATGAATTAATAATCTAACATAAAATAACTAAGTTAGATTGTTAATTTATTTCGATGAGTAAATAGTTTAAATCTTCTATTCATTCCATTCTTCTTCCTGGCAAAATAGTGCAGAAAACAAAAAGTATACTACGATCAGAGAATACAGCTGTTCTGATCGAACGAAACCGAACAACGCTTGAAATTGCAGAAGTTTGTGAGTGTTATGAAACTGACAGAGTGAAATTCCAACTTTTAATTTTTATGTTAACGGAATGGAATGAGTAGAAGAAGAAGGAGGAGGAGGAGGAGGAAGAGTTTGAGATCAAAAAAAAGGATAATTAAATGATAGTCATGTTTACACTTATATGATTTCAAGACTTTGGAATTTTAGTAGTGGAAGAAAAACTTGCTTGAAAAAAGAAAATAAAACTTGAAAATAAAATGAATCGAATTAATTAAGATTGTGAAACTAAAAGGCTTGCAAGAAGATGAAAGAAAATTAATTAGATTAGATTAATTCCATTTCTCATTTAAATTTCTTCCATCACTGATCTATTCTTTAAATATTATTAATGTATTGCTTATCATTAAAAAAATTATTTATCGAATTTCTTTCCTTTTTTCGTTTCATATCTCTATCGCAACAATAGGCACCGAGAAACGAAATATCCATGCCTTAAATAATGCAAAAATTAGGATTTGACAATCCAGAGTTAGCAGACCTTTGGAAAAAAGCTTTTATTTGATTAAATCAGTTTTTATTTCTATCCTACTTTATCTTCCCGCTAATTCTAAGCTAACGCATAATTTTAGATTCTTTTTAAAAAATAGTATTGAAAATTTGAAAAAATTCAGATTTTAAATTATCAATATTATTTCAAATTACAGTCAATCGAACTGATAAAATTTTGATATTTATTAAAGAAGAATGTATTGATTAATACGAACGGAAAATGTTAATCTTTTCTATTCGTTTCATAATTTTTTAACTTGAAACTTTGACTATAATTAAGCAATTAATAATTTTTGAAATAGTATAATCAAGCAATATCCTACGAATATCATTAATAACACAATGAAATAAAATAAAATTAAAGAACAGGAAATTAGTAAGTGATGTGGGATAATCGATTACTGAGAAGGGATTGATGATGGATAAAATAGAAAGGTGGAAATGATTATCTTTTGTGATAGCTCAAATGTTATGATAGAATGTTAAATAAATGAGAAAGAGAGAGAGAGGAAGAGAAAGGGAGACAGAGAGGAGATAAATGAATGAATGATCGGGTCAATGAAGTGCTGCAAATATTCCTACAAACTTTTCTTCATCTTCTAACTACTAACAAACTCCCTGTAAGCATCTGCTCAAAAGCGCTTGTATTGCAACTGTTCCTCATTCCACTAGCAAAAAGATGATAACAACTTCAGACAGATATCCAAGTTTAAATTTAAATAGAAACGGAAAATGGATAAACATTGTAAATCATTTTTAGTTAAATTTTTAAATACTCAAACATTCAAAAAAAAAGAGAAAGAAATTTTTACATAAATTTTTTTGTAGTAAATATTTTAGCGTAAAATTTCCTTTTTGGATTCTTCTTCCCTCCTATTTATTATTGTGATTAAAATTTTAGGATTCTTAGTAAATAAATAAATATGCTTTAAATTTAAAAGTAAACAGCACAATGGGGAGTAGTAATAAGAACGCCTGCAGTAATTATTGATACAATTGATAGAGTTGAAGGAATAGTTATTGTTTAATTTAAGGCTAATTACTTGATGGAAATGAATGATTACATTTAATTTCATGAAAACATAATTCATGAAAATCACTTTTTTTATCAGATATCAAATATCATAGAAATTTGCTTGTTTAAGTGTTTAGATTAAGTTTGAAAATTTTATTTTAATTTTAAACTTTTAGTTATTCCAAAATGTTTTATTCAGTTTCTATTTATGTTTGTTTAATTATTTAAGGTTATATTTTTTATGATTATCAATGCCCTAATAGTATCAAAAAGAAATGTGTAATATACAGAATAGAATAGTAAATGAAATGAAGAATTAATGCATTAAAATATTGTAATCGATATTGTTGATTGAATTTTATTTATTCTTGATTGTTATTTCTATTTGTCTGCTGGATAAAAGAAACAAAGCTGAATGATTAAGAATGAAAGACATATTTCGGAAGTGTTGGAGAAGTGAAATGTTGTAGTGATAGAGGAGAACAGAGATAAGAACTGATAAGATCCTTTGGAATTTTATTATTCTGAATGAAGGATAGCATATAATTTTTCATCTTTATTCAAAAGAATCAAAATCTCGAAAAATTTATTCGTATACTTGTATAAGTTTTCCTATAAAAGAAAAAGAAATTGTATAAGTTGTATAAGTATAAGTTGTATAAGTTTTCCTATAAAAGAAAAAGAAATTGTAAATTAAAATGAAATGATTTTTTTCAATTAAATATTACATATCAACTTTAAACAAATATTGAAGAAATGTTAACTGAGAAAAAAATGTTGACCTTAAAAACGGTTCACCTGATTTTATTATCAATATTCTTAAATTCCCGGTAATTAATTTAAATAAATTAATTGGATAAGAAGAAATCAATGATATTTTATTACTCCAAAACATTTTTATTTATATTTATCAAATATCTACGTATTGGTTGCAATTTCAACATTGTTTATTCATATAATTGCCAATATTTCAATGAAAAAATGTATGACTTTTATCCTTAAATTTTTCAATTTTGGGAAAATAAATTCAAATATTACTAAATATCGATTTATATTACTTATTGAATTCATGCAGAAAGAGAAGAGTCTATAATTAAATTAAAGAAATTTGATAAAAATCGTATTTGTAAATGTTTCAGGATTAATCCAGAATTCAACTGTTAATGCTGAAATATTAATTTTATATATTTAATTGATTGCTTATTTTTGAATTATAACTTAACAGTAATTGTTTAATCATTTTCTATGGTTGTTTTTTTACAATCAGTTTGGTTTTCTCGATTTTAATTAAAGATTGTTCAGATGATATTAAAGCATAATTGCAAATGAAATATGATACGGTGCATAGCGTAACATTTAATCGAATAAAACTGAAGAAATTAATTCGAGTAGAATGTACATTTCTTGTATTGGAAATGAAAAGATATTGGAAATAAAAAATAGTGAAATTAGCTGCTGACACAATATCATTATCAGTTGGATATCATCTGATATCATCATTATATTTATTAGAGTGAAACCACATAAGAGTACTATAGCCATGCATCAGTTTTTTGATGACGTGTTTTTTGATAGACGTATAAACCGGATATTTCCTTTTTAACCGGATATTTCCTTTTTTTCTCCATCCGTTTTTTTCTGACTTTTTATTGTTGATTTATAACTCCAGATATTTTTGTTTTCAATAAAAACTTCTAAAACATCCTTTGTAGGGCAATCCATCAGTAACTAATTAGAAAAGCTTCAGTCGTATTCATCCATCAAACTACTCTCCATCAGTTGATTTTATACCTGCTCTAAAAACCTCCAGATATTTTCGGCCTGATATTTTAAAGAAATTATTCAAGACTGATGACACCATCTTATAGTTAATTATTTCTTTGAAAATCACTAATATCTATACATCAAAAATATGTCGATTATAGTTTTCTACCCTCTACAAATGAAAAATTCAATGAAATGGTTAAAATTTAAATTATATACCATAGAAAACTCTTTATTTTCTCTTCCACTTTTCCTGATGACGAAAATTAAACTGTTAGCACTTTTGATTAGAATCACTGATTCATATGTATGACACATAATATGATCCTCAGTTCATTAAAGGATGACAATATCATCCCGCTCACAGCCACTTAATAAAATTAGAAGAAGAGCCTTGTTAAGATTTCGGGATTGATTTTTACGTGCAGCTGCTAACTCCATCAGAAACATAGCGCAATCAATTTGTAATCATACATTTTTCGATTTAAAAATTATGAACAGAGTGTTTTCCATTTTATTTTCCATTCATTTTTAAGTACTTATCCTCGGTATATTGTAAAATATCTTACAATTCGTTTGGTATTTTTATTTATTTTTTGTTTTGAGAGTTATAATTGCTATTTTTGTTGATTTGTTCATAAGAAAGTGAAAGGGAAGCTCACGAATGGCCTGAATTAATAATTTGAGATGGTAAACATTTTATCAGTAATTAATATCTATATGATATATGATACCAGTCATATCAATCATTTGTTAAGCGGAAACATGAAATTAGTACTTGCGATCTGATTTCCGTCGATTACAAAAACCGAACTTGCCATACGTTGCATAAAAACATGAAATTGCAATAATCTGGAATTGTAAAATTGTTATTTCTAATATCAAAGAAAGATTAAATGCCATTCACATAAAGTTTTTCCAATATGACTTGATGGCAAATTTCCAGATAAGTCATTATTCAATTTTACAAAAATTTATGAAAACTAACGAAGACAACATTTAATAAAGCTATGATAGTTGTCGTCCACGGGAAACCAATCCATTGGACACATAAACCACCAACTGTTGGCCCAACAAATGATCTGAAAAAAAATTTTGTTTCAAAATTTCATTAAAATATTTTCATCTGTAAATTTTTCATCAAAACATGTATGGTTTACGGTTTTACTTACCCAAAGGAATAGGCAGATTGAAATAAGCCTGTTACACAACCATACGTTTGCAATGATTCATCGTACCCATATTCACTGTAATCTAATTTTTTCAATGAAAATATTTTGAAATCTAATTAAAAAACGATTAATGTTAAAAATTTTAACTACCGCAAGAATTTTTTTTTCACGGAAAATCGAAATGTTTAAATGAGAAACATTTCCGAATGAAAGTAATAAAAATTGAAATATTTACATAATTAAGGCTCAAAATACAATTAGTTAAGGAAGAGTCGAAAACTTTAGAGTAAATTAGATTTGAATGATTTATTGATATGCAAATTTGATGATAAAATGTAGCTTTCTAATTTTAAAGTTTAAATTAAAATAATGAATTACCGTAATGCATCAATCGACATTTGAAAAGTTGGAATATACAAAGCACTAGCTGAAATACCAAGCACACCCAATGCAACTTCTATCCAGCCTAAGTTTCTGCAGATACGCAAATATAAAAAAGTGATGTTTGGAAAAATCAAAAGAATGAAAAATGTCAATATCTTAAAAAAGAGAATTATCTCAAACGATAAGTTGATCGTCGAAAACTTTTTGTTGAAAAAGAAGCAAAATCGGCCTCTGTTTGATTTTGTTAAGAAAATCATTACTTATTTTTGAATAAAAAAGATGCTATACTTTCTCGAGAATTCTCAAATAAACTATCCGAGCAGTTTACATATTACATAGATTATTTTACAAATAAACTAATTATTGAATAATTATACAAACTGAGTGAAAGGAGTAACAAGGGAAGCTGAAATGAAATCTTTTTCAGTTAATTTTCTTGTCACCATTCGATGTTAGTCTTGAAAATGGAATTAGAATAGAAGAAATACAACCTACTTCACCTATTCTAAATATGAGATTCAGACAAAAAAAATTATATCCAATATTTACTTTTCAGCATTCAGAAAAGGTGATGGTCCAATGATAATCATACTAATCACAACTGCAACATAACCAAACATTATAACCATTTTGCCACAGTTAAATTTATCAATAATTATACTCCAGAGAGGTGCTGTTATCGTATAAATTCCACCAGATAATAAAAACATTAAGCCGACAATGGATGGTGTAAGTTTGAACTGTAAAGTTCACTTTGAATATTCTCCTTGATTTGTTTATTTCAAAAGAAGATAAAACCATTTCTCTTTTCACTTTTACATAATAATTCGCAGAAATTACGCACATAATAGATCATTTCGTATTGTATCATTCTTTTATATATCCGAATTTTAATATGAATAAGGCATATCAGAGAGAAAAGTGTGAGTTTTTTCAACAATCAATAATGCATCATAGATTGTTCAACTCATTAGTGACAAATTGATTAGTCATATGTTTGAGAAGAACTGACAAAAAAAGTTGACGAAAATAATGAAATCAATCAAATGAAATGAATGCTTATTAAGGTAATCTCAGTGATAAGATCAATAGAATTCAAATATATTATATGCAAAACAAATGATAAATTTTCAATGAAAATCTAGTTTCTAAGAATAAAATATATAACTGATTAAAAGTAAAAATATTAAATCGTTGCATTTATCATTTGCATAAATTTTAAAGAAAAGTCTAGAAAAAGAAAGAATTTACCGATTCTAAGTGATCTGCTAATGTTGGATCGAGAAAAGATAATGATATAGCACAAATAATCACTGCATAAATCATAATCCATAACATTGGTATCTTTAATATACCTAACATACCTTTACCATCCATTGTTACATCATCTATAAAATATTTTTTTTGTCAATAAACGAAAAATTTAATTCAATCATAAATATTTAATTAAATAGTAAGAAAAGAAAAATCATACCATCCATATTTTCCACCAAAAAAGATGCTAATAATCCAAGAAAGAGTAGAATAATTCCCAATACAAGAAATGGTAATTGAAAACCGCCAATTTCATACAATATGCCACCAAGTAGTGGACCTGCTGTAGTACCAAGACCTACGAATGTTTCCAGTACACCCTAAAAATTTTTTATAATAAATAAAATTTTTATGAATAGATACAAAAAAATTTAGTACAGATTATTAAATTCATTTAATCAATTAAGAATCGCCGATCGAAAAAATGAAGCGAGCGAAAATTCATCTTTTCATATATCAGTAGGAATTCTTCATATATCAATATCCGTGTGAATGAATAATACATCGGAAGGTCATGTATTTGTATTTGACCTTCAATTTACTGTCATTTTTTCTTTTTCTATTATTCATTTATAAATTGAAATCAAAACCGAAAAATAAAAAATATAATCTTTGAGACTATTTTTGGAATACGTTGAATTCCTCCAAATTGTTCGACAGTGTATAATAAACTATCAAAAGTCATGATTTTCTTGATGCTTTCAAATTTAAGCATCGTATACATTTTTATAATTCAAATAAACCCGTACAATAACAAGTGCAATTCGTCCCGGAAAACATTTAATACCAATTGAAAATGACGATGTGACAAAAGCCGCATCACCAAAGGCTTCTAGTATTCGAAGGCCAATTGAGGACCAGAAAAATAAAGATGACGATTCGATGTAATTCAAAAATCTGAAAGTAACGTTAGTACCCATGATCTGATCTCTTGAATTCAAAACTGCAAAAATTTTTGCATTTTTTTAATAGTTTTAATAAAAGAACGAACCCAAAAAGTACAACAGTGATGCCAGTAATTCCAATTCCGGAAACAAACATCTTTTTTGAGCCAATTAAAATCATCTGAAAATTTTACTTTGTTCAATTCGTAAAAAAAGGTTTACAGAAGGCAAAGAATTCATCAAATTTTTTGAGCTGCTATTGATGCTTTCAATTAGCCTAGCATATTTAAAGTTCCGGAAATATAGTATGTTATGTTATCTGCAAGATTAAATTATCAGATAATCTTTCGATCAGATTTACTTCTTGCAGAGTAAATCTAAATGAAAATTTTCAATTAAACGAACATATTTGCCGAATAGCGGTGCAACAAAAAACATTATCAATTCGAAGACACCGAATACTGCACCTATCTCGAAACTTTTTAAACCTTTGATTTTTGCCTGAAATTATCATTCGTCCGGTATTCTGTTCTTTAGTTTTTTCTTTACTTTTTTGTAAATGGTTCAATAACCAAACATTACAATTATGGTATTAGCCAATTAAAATAACCTTCCTGAATTGAATTTTATTTTTATCGTATGTGCATAAACATTTAATATCTCAGGTCGCACTTATCCTGTATGATTACCGCACTCATCTTCAGACAATTTGTAACTAACCTCATTTGAATAAAAAGGTGCAATACAGCTGTAAGCACTGGTACTGCCAAGATTTGCAATTGATAACATACAAATTGTCATCCATTCCTTGGTGGTAAGTGATGATAATTTGTCAAATGTTGTTTCATAGTTGCTATAGCTTTTACGCTTCGTAATTTCGTCATCCAAACTGAAGTGATTATTTGGAATACTTAACAATTAACATTTTAAATTCAATTTATTATATATTCTGAGTTATTCTGAGATTTATTATATATTCAGATTTTTTCAATCTGAAGCTAATCATAGTTGAAAACAAATTTTGCAAAAAATTAATTTTTTTGCAATTTCGTCATTGGAAAATTATTATAAATCATAGAAAATATGCCTTCTTTTCCATTATATAATTTGTTTCATTTCAGGTTTAATTTTTTAAGTTTGCGTTTAATTTGATATAATCAATAATAGTATTAAATATTTTAAATATTTTAAATCACTATCGGTTCACTATTTTTCCAGAAACCTAAACTTTCCCCCTCCTCCCTCCCCCTATGAAGAATCCGAATAGGTTTAAACCTCTCATTCTTACTATCAGCAGATTTTTCTTGCAGTTTTTCGTCTTGTACCTTCACACGGATACTTCCATAACCTCTGCAAGATTTGGATGAAGCACAAGAAATGTGCGGGATTGTTAATTTGCCAAATTCAATTGGTATTTGTCCAGCAATTGGCATAAAAGGTCGTGCTGTGGATGACCTGAAACTTGATAATTTGAAATAATATGCAATGTTTCCTTGAAATTTTGCGCCCCTTATATAATCTGTTAGTTCAAAAGTTTTAAATCTATTTTCTATCAATATGAAATATGCTAATAGTTGAACATTTAATAATCGATTGAAAATTGCAAATTCAATTTCGATCGCTTTTTTTGCCGATTAATGGCAATAAATTGAAAGGTAACAATAAAACTTGTTGACAATAAAAAATATTTATATTGATGATGATGTACCGCCTCAATGAGACTATGAATGCCTTCATGACGCATGCGAAAGGTAATCATGGATAGTCCGAAATGAAGGAGACTGATGAAGAAATAACCGGTATATTTGTTATAAAACTTGTTACGGGTAATGTTGAATTTTTAGGAATTTTAACTAATTCATTTCGTAGAATTTCATTTTGATGCTACCAACGATATCAAAAATGATGCAACTGATATCCTTCTGTTTGCTAAATTATATTTAACATTTTATTATCTTACATTTTGCGTTCGCTGTAAATCAAATACAATAAAATGATGAATTCATCGAAAAGTTTTTGATGCTACCAACGATATCAAAAATGATGTAAATGTTATCGTTCTGTTTATTAAATTATTTTATGTATCTTACATGTTGCGTTCGTTGTAAACCATACATTAACAATAAAATGAAAATTAAAATGATGAATTCATCGAAAATCTTTTTCGATGTCATTTCTACTTTTCTTTTTCATTTTCATCAAATAATGATTATTCCCTGTAATGTTTTGAAGTTACAATTAGAATTATAATAATAGTCATATTATAGTCCAACAAATGAGAATTAGAATTATAGCCCAATAAAGAGAGATTATTATAACTAACGAAGTGATTATGCAAATTAATACGTTGTACGTTAGCACTCTTTGACATTAAAATATCAAACAGATAGAATTGATATTATTATCAACATCAGATAATAATGATGAATTCATTTTCAGTAAAATTAATGTTTATCTGTCGATATGTCACGTAGAATAATCAATAAGAAAATAAAAAATGCCGGCAGATATTTTTCAGCACTTTTGCTCATTTTCGCTATGAAGGAGAAATTCTTTTGTAAAAAATGGAAGTATGCAAATAAATTTCTATGATTATTCCCATTTATATCAATTAGCAAGCAAATGAATAGATGTGAAATGAGAGTGATAATAAAATGTACTAATTGATCCAATAATGATTATCATATCAGATGAAATGATTAAATATCATTTTATACAAAGAATATTTTAAAGAAATAAATACCGCTCATTTCTAACTTGTAGGCTGTGAGATGTAAATTTCGATAGCAGATTTTCGTAACTGTACGATAAAAATTTCCTTCTTACGCCTTTATTGTTACCATCTTTTGTTGTTTCTACAATTCTTCGACCTTCTTTAATATCACAACATTTTTCATTCATATCATTTGACAACTTTTTAGTAGCCAATAAAAGATCCATTTCATCATCTTTATGTATACAACTAGCATGTATTTCAATGCCAGGCATGTTTATAGTTGTTCCTGATTCATCCATTCATCATATTTCAAATATTTTTCAAAACTGATCATGCAGATGAAGTTGTTTTGCTACAGTTCAAAAGTATTTTGAGCCATGCTGTAAGAAAAATAACATAAATTTTCATCGGATTCGAGAAGCACAGAAACAACAATGTAATAAATATAAAAATTTGCATAAATGGATATGTATCTAGAGATGATTTGTTATGGTAGAAATTGCAAATAAATCAAAACAAATAACAAAAGAGTAATAAATTTATTAATTGCCATATAAAAGGGTAGTTCAAATCAGTGCAATTTGTAGAGCTTTTAATTTAAATCATTAAAATTAGTAAAATTTTAAGAATTTTTTATAGCAATTATTAAAAGTCGTAATGTCTTGTACAGCACTTATAATAATATCGATAAAAATTTTCGTAAAAATCATTTATAGAAAAAGTAATGCAATTTTATCGATTATTTTGCCATAAAACAAACAAGTAACTCTTGCAGTTTCGAAAGCAAACATTTAAAAGAAATTTCGAATCTCTAATGATTTAAAAATTACACTCTAATTTCAGGTTTTGTAAATCAACAAAATTTCTTACAAACATATTGTTAATTTGTTGCTGCGCTATTTTGCGTGAAAATTTCACAATGCTTCCGTTGCTAAGATTCTAATTGATTTAGAATTTCAAAATTGATCGATACAAAATTTCACTAGTTAATTGAAAAATGTTTGCATGATAGAATGAGAGAATGGACTGTAATCAGCTTATTGTCAATTAAGTCCAAGAATAAACAATAAATAACACAGTAAATGACTAATAGCATTATGATTCTCAAACTTATCGTATCTGATCTAAAGTCTGAGCTTCTCATCATTGTCTCAGAAAAAAGAGTTACAGTAAGAAGCAAAATAACTACAATAAGAAGTAAAGTAATCACAAACTGTACTTTCACAATTCTCAGTAAAACGACAATGTTAAAAAGAATCCGACAACATTTACAAACACTGAAATTATTTATTCCATTGAATTTTCATCTCTTATTTGAAATTGATTCATTCATATATACAATCATTTTTAAAAGAAATTTTAATATAAAATAATGTTTGGGAAAAATAATATGAAATGAAATACTGAATATATTTCACTTAAATATCGTTATCCTTCATTATGGATTAGAATGCTAATAAGTAATTCTGTTATGCATTAGTATGCAAAATGAAGAATAATTGGAAGAATTTAAATGTCATTAAATATTTTTTAGAAATTAATGCCATAAAGAGAAATTTGAAGTGTCATAATTGCAGTATTTGTTATGTGTGTTTTTCAGAAAAAGGTTGAAATTCTTCAATTAAAGCATTTTCTGGTACGTAGCGAAATTAATTTGAAACTTTCCTACCGTATCGGATTGATTTCAACTAATAATGAATGTGAATCATAAGCAACATTATCAATTAATCAGTAGATCGTTTATGATAACGGAAGAATGGTTGTAGTAAAAAGATGCGTATGTATGAAATGCAAAAATTGATTGTTATCCTTAGTAAAAAAGAAAATTATTAAGTGATCATTTAGCAGATTGAAATAAAAATTTCATTATAAATATGTTTATATGTAAAATTCATTAAAAAAAACAATTGTAAATAATAAAACGGCAATGGAAGTGATAATAAAAGAATTGAACACCTGTGAAAGTGTAAAAAAGTTATATGTTAATGAATGCGAAATAATGACCATTTATAATCGATTATTGATTGAATGCTATCAGTTATTCCCAAAATTTGAGAGATATAATATATAATAAAAGAAGTGATAATTAAAGGTTTTCTAAAATGACAATTCATTATGAGACAATGGAAATTAAAGAATCGATTCTTTCCAAAGTGTGTTTCAAAAAATTTTTGAAAAGCATTAAAGAAGAAAATAGATTGAAGTAGAACAGAAGGACTGATTGCTTGTAGTATAATGTCGAATGTGTCGTCTATCTTCGCTCTTTCTATTATGCATTGCGTATCGTTTTCTTTTTGATAACATCTTTTTCAGCGATGGCGTTGAAAACACGTAAAAGACGCATTTGCGACATTTTTATCTGTGACAGATCATGCATGCATAGTTATTGTAATGAATGTGATGTGACGTTCTAATAAATTAATAAGCTGTCAACGTTTTCAAAAGAAAAAATGTCATTTCATCGGTATTTCAAAGTATCTTTGAAATTTGATAAGGATGAAATTTTATAAAGATAAAACAATTGGGAAATATGTGCAACCATTAGTGATAATCACGGATAATCACCGAAATAATAAATCACAATAAGATCAATTTTTAAAAATATGAAGAAGGAATGTATTTACTACAATTCTATACTAATCAGAATAGCTAAATATACACCATTTCACAATTTCTTGAAAAAATTTAGGTGCTTGTAATAATCATTATGAAGTATTAAAATTTCTAGTTGTATTTTTATCTCTGTGTTGTCAATAAGGCTATATTTAGTAAATGTATTAATTTATATTAATTTAATTAATTGTCATGTATATTTTTGAATAAACTGGAAACATTATGAAAGTGCAAAATTCTATCAGTTTAAATCATAACACCTGAAATTCTTACCATTTTCATATACGAGCAAAATTATAATTGCTAATTTAAATCCGAAATTAAAGAAAAAGATCTTTCAAAAGAAAAGAAGTGGTCTGTTGTTATCAAAACTATAAATGCTAATTTAAATATGAAATTAGACCGAGGAATTTTCAAAAAAAGATAAATAAATTAATCCGTTGTTTGAAGGCATGCCAAACTATAATTATTAACTAAAATACAAAATTGAAAACTCTTTCAAATTTCTGCTACTTGAAATTATTTGAATAATTAATCAGTTGTTTATTAGTCACTTAAACTAATAACTTATTTTTTATTTGAACTAATCACCTGAACTAATCACTTCTTTTTCAAAATTAAAATTAATTAAACTAACCATTGTTTTTCAAATAACAATAGAAGAGAGATTATCGTCGATATTATGAAGAAGAATTGTGATGTATTAATAAATCAAAAAAACTACAGCTACATTTGGTTATTTCATCTCTTTATACCTATTAAATATACCTGTTCAATTATAACCAGAAATTTGTTTTTTTGTTCGCTTTTAGCTTAGAAACTTATTCAAATTTGACTAAGTTTGGTCCTTAATATATAAATTAATTATTTATATTAAATTGGCTAATACTGGGAAAAAAATCAATTTAAAATATCGCTGTGATAAAATACGATATAAAGTAATTTCTAAAATTGTATTCATTTACTGCGAGTTAAGATTAAACAAAAGTTAACGGATTTTAGTGAGCAAATATCAACCTATTTTAGCACCCTTGATGTCATCACGTCTTTGCTTATATCAGGAATTATCACTGATTGAATCTTCTATGAATAAATATATCCAAGAAATCAGACAAGTAGCAAATAAGGAATAATTTTTCTGGCAACATTCATTATCATAATTAAATGATACTTCTTCAGATAAATATATTACTAATAATATTTTAAAGCATGATATTTCAAATCTTCATAAATTTTACACTATTTTAAATCTTCATAAATTTTACACTTCAACAGCTGAAGTTTTTTCAATCCTTCCAAAAAAATATTTTAGTAAAACTTAAGATTCAAATTAGCATGAAATCGAATTCATAATTTTTATTAATTGTATCTCAACATTCTAAGCAATCGAAATTCTCGTTGCTCATCTCATATTTATTAATGACCTCTTGAACTGAGCAGCATTCATTTAACTAATCTGAATCATTTACTCGGAAACACTGAAGATAAAGTACAATAAGGTGATCAATCATATCTTGTTAAACTTACTAAAGTTTATGAAATTTAATCTAACAAATATTAATTCATGCAAATTTCTTCTAATGTTCAATTTACCAAAACTTTCGAGTTTTTGCAAAATGTTCGCAATTGTTGTTTTTCTTTCTTTGTTGATGGCCTCCATTTCCTATTGAGCCTACATTTGATAGAGAGCTCTCATCGTCTAACTCATTATTTGCAATTAAACTAAAATTATTTTCGATTAAACTTGGATTATAATCCAGTGAAAAGATTCGGCATCATCGGCTTTGATGATGTTATTTGATATTAAACGGTCAAGTGTTTTATGTAGTATAGTAAAAGCATACAAGAACAGCCGACTGATTAAGTCAGCTCCGCGCAGTTTCTTTTTTGATCGAAATTAAAAGCCAATCGAAACTTAAATCTCACACGCGGAAAAGAAGCTAACAATATAAATGAACCCAATGATCCAATAAATTCCTTCAAAATTTGTACTAAAAATTGCTGAACTAATTAAAATTAGCAAAACATTAAATAGTCAAAAATTAAAATGGCAAGTTTGAAATGTTATCAAATTAATGGAATAACACATACTGCGAAATCTCAATAAGCGACCGTTTTTCTTCTTTCATCGAAACACTATCATTAATTATCTGCAATATAGCATACTAATCGATTTTAATATTTTCTCGCAAACTTGCAACCTTTGATCAACGAAACAAACAATATATTTCGAAACATTTTGATAAGACCTATAAATCTTCAAATTTATCAATTCATTCAACGATCTTTGATAAATAACAAACGAAAACACATTTACACATTTCAAAAGATTCCATTATATATTTTTTGGATGACATTGTATTCATTCTATCGGTTAAGCCTGAATTCGGACAACAATTTAGGAAGCCTTAATCGATTGTATATAGCGTACTTGTCATCATTTATGCACTCTTATGATGGATGACTGATTTATGATTTCGTTGTTGTTTATCAATGTTAACGCTTGATGATATTATAAGAAAATGAATAGAAATTGATTGAAATTTTATGATTAATGTAATGGTCACAACATTAAATAGCATTGACAAGGTTAAATAAGCGGTTATATTCAAAACTATATATTTAATAATTTTTACAGGCAGTTTCAGGCATGCTGCATGAATTTTTATAGTAGGATACGAAGAGA